CTGGCAGTCTGCGAGTCTTGGGTCTTGGGGCGAGAGTGGGATGGGGATGGGGATGCAGGCGAGCAGGCCGCAGGGCCGCAGGGCATCGATTCCGTGATGGGCGGATGGGGCCCCTTCTGCAGGAACGGGCTAGCCAAATCGTTAGCCCTTCCTCTTGGAACCAGGACCTTTCTGTGCCTCTTTCTCCAGTTTCCACTGTCCAGAGGATGAATGGATGGGAGAGGCTCAGGCAGGTGTGAAGCCCTGTAAGTGAAAGGTAAAGAAAGGTAGGTACCTGCTCCCTCTTGTTCTTCTGACCCCTCTTTCTTGGTACATGACAATGTGGCTCCGGGGTGTGGTGGTCTGGGCTAATTCTGGCTATACGAAGTTGGAATATGGATATGCAGAGGGTGCAGGCAAGTGCCTGGGTGGGAGCGAACCATGAGTGCGATGGGAGATTGGCGGGCTCCGTCTTGAATTACCATTTTGGACCATGTCCACAAAAGAGACTGTCCAATACGGTGGCCCCGAGGTCAGCGGCGAGCAGGGGTGAGGATGTCATTCTGGCCAGTGTGCGCGTAGCGTGTTGAAGACCAAGGATAAGCCGGCACGGTCTGGTGCATCTTGTTGGTCGGTTCGGGCGAGCTCCGTCGTCGGTCCAAGTATCCGCTGTCAGTCGGGCCCCTGGCTCCAAGGACGTGCTCTCCTGTATCGAGTCAGTTTTACTTCGGGCGGTACCCCCAGCAAGAATACGAGACGTTGGAGACGAACCAGGCTGTCAGGACGGATGATCCATGCTGTCGAAGATTATCCAGAAAACAGTGCTTTCCCAGTCGGGAACAATTGGGGACTTGAGGCTCAAGGGGCCGGACCCGTTCAAAGGCGGTGGGCAACGGGAGGTGCGAGGTGCGGCGTGCCTGGCAGGCTGAGGGTGGGCGTCGTTGGCAGATGGGAATCGGAGGGGTTCATCTCAGCTAGCATAAACCGTTTATGCTCAGAGGGCGATGGTGTGGCACCCCGTCCGTACTGGCTACTGCTAGCTCGACCGGCTGTTGCTGCTTCCTGTCCAACAAGTCACCAAGTCTTTCAGGACTGAGGTGTTGTAGACTGTAGTGTATCCGTAGTGCGCTCCGTACTGTGTAGTCAGATGTCTTAGTGCGGCGTGGACTGGGCCAAGCCAGGAACAGGAACACGTCGGGCGCGTCTGTCTCATCGTGATCGTGACGTCGACTCGTGGGGAGGCTAACGCAGGAGGAAGCGACAAGTCTGCCATGGCGGCATGGAAGGATTTGAAAAGGAAGGACGGGAAAAGCAAGTCGAAATTGGTCTTCTTCTGCCTAGACCTCGCGCATTAGTATCGCTAGCAGCGCTGAGAAATCACGCTTCAAGGCGTAGCCGCAGCTTACCTAAGGTCGCACAAAATGTGAATAAGTATGTACTTTGGTGGATGCAACAGCGCCGAAGAAAAGGAACGACACTGGGCGAAGAGTGGTCCCAACCCTGGGGAACTGCACATGGAGCTTGGAAGCATTTTCCCCGAGTGACACCGTGTGGCAGGATTGGAATGCGGGAGGAAGAGAATGTCGACTGTCTGATGTCTCCCGAATCCCACTGGACTGGGAATGGGAGAAAGGCGACAACCCCTCAGCCACGGGAGATCCACTTGGCGACATCTCGGCCAATCCTTGGCTTCTGCTCGATTGACATCAGCCACACAGCACAAGCGTCACAAGGCAGAGTGCGGCTTCCCTCAAGCCCTTTCGCTCCTGCTGTCCTTGACTCTAGTTCCCGAATCCTTTGTGAGTTTGAGGTTTCCTTTGGTCGCCTGCCACCTGCCACGCCGGCAAAAGAGTACATGTCAAGAAACTCCACTAATCTGTCACTAGCTCTTTCATTGTCCATTTATTTTTTTCGTATACGTACCGCTACGTACACAGTGTTGGCGTGGAAGCAGGGCACCTGAAGGACTTGACCCACTTGGGCACGAGGAGGTAGCCTCGAATAGGACGGCTGGGACCGGGGTACTAGGGCCAGGGGTCGGTCGGAGGAGCACCTGCGCTTGCTGCCGACCGGGGCCGGGCCCCCTTGCACGAGTCCACGACTCCTACCGCGGTGCAGCACTCGCCCGCGACGATCGGCCGCATCGCACAAGAGCGGTCGGTGCTTTCAAGCGAGTCAGAAGAGAGAAGCTCTCTTGGTTCCTTTTACTGGTGTGTCTGGGCATCTTCTGGGCGCGCAGTAATGGGAACTTGCCACTTGGGAAGGCCTGATGCCACCTATGGTTCGCTGCTGTGAGTCGCCAGAATCAGGACGGGATTGTCTGGAGCAAACCGAGGAAGGAGGGGGGATGACTGAGAGAAATAGGGACAGTACGGATACCAAGGTGTGAATGGGCTGCTGGATATGAGGAAGGAGACGAGTCCGGAGGGGAAAGCGGAAGGGGTCATGTTCGCCCAAACCAGAAGCCACGCCGAGCTGAGTGAGCCAAGGGCCCAAGACCACGCGAACTCCTTTTTCTTTGGTGGCGATGGCTCTTCCTTTGCCTCGCTGCCCTGTCCTGCCCTTTGCCTGCACTGTGTCTCATCGTGACAGAAACACGACCAATTTTGATGTTGGTATCTGGGGAGTCCCATGCCCTTCAGCTGTTCAATCCAAGTTCCGGTTTCCAGGAGTTGGCGAGAAACTCGGTTCAGGGCTCCCTCAGCCTTCAGGAGGTCCATGTTCCATCAAGCGAAGGCCGTCTGAGGACCCGCGCATTGCACGGCGAGGGGCTGCCTCGAAAGACTTTATAGAGTTTAGGTGAGTTCCCCAGTCAATTCAGTACTCCCCTCTTTCTTCCCTTCCTCTCCCCTGGTGAAGAAAGATACCATGGTGTTGGGTTGTTTGTGGGACAGGGCGGTGGGAGTTGCGTCCAATTTGGGACTGATTGCCTATGGCCGTCCAATTGTTGTTGATTATCTAAGCGGCCAGCGACAGGCAATGGCGTCTACACTTGGCACTTGCACCAACCACAAGTCAGCAGCACACAGACTCCTTTTTTTTTTCTCCAAATTGACCTCGGGCTTCTTATCATCTGTCAACAAAATTCAGACGCCCGTCCACCTGCAGGACACGCTATGCACTCCAGCTACCAGATTGCCAGAACAAGCAGTCAGGCAGGGAGGGGAAAGAGCTGGCAGAATTTGCTCTCGCACTCTCTCTCGAACTCGGCTGGCACTGCTTCGAATGCGAGTGACCAAACAGGCCCCAAAGCCATCAAATGCCGTCTCATCAAAGACTCTCGGGTCTCAACAAGAGTCTTACTGAGAGAACATGCGGCGCAGACAAGCAAACAACAAGCAACGCGGGCTAATGACAAGACACCAAGCCTCCCGTTATGCAGCGCCGCTGCCAAGAAGACACCAAGAACATCTATGTCAATCTGCGCCTTCTCAGGTCCAGCTGGCTTCTAAGTTCTGGATACCTAGTGAACAACTGAATCACAAGTTCGCTCGTCACGAGAGGGCCAATCTCGGTCGTTTACAGCGCCGTCGCGTCGCCACGTCTTTACACCAACGTCGTCAGCGCCAACCGTCAACCCGTCAACAAGACAAAGCGCGCTATCGACGTTGTTCATCAGTGCCCAGCGTGTGCCACTCGAGTCTTGGTGCCATCCAATGCGACCAATGTCACTGCCGACGTGACGTCCCATGTTGTGGTACCACCACTCCTTATTGGGATAAGCTCGCAATCCCATTCCAAAAAGTTCCCCCGTCTTTCCAAGGCCGCACCGTTGGCGGCGTTGGCGGCGTTGGCGGCGCTGCCCTGGCGTTTCTTGGCAGGGGAAACGAGGTTTTCCAAGCAGCCAAAGCCAGATACGTACCTTTTTGGATTGGTTGCTGTCCAAAATAACACAGGCTTGTCAGGTTCGACCTTGTACCAATCCCATCCCTCATCTCTCTCGTCTCTACGAAGCATTCGTACTCCGCACCTTACCTTCACAGCAAGGACACTGCCATTGCTCCTTTCCATTGGTCAAGCTTTCGCCCATTCATCACAGCACCGTCCGTTTTGCTGTGCCGTTGGCGGCAGTTTCCCACCACCTTTTCACCCTTTTCACCACACCACTTTGACGGTTTGACCACACACCATCACAACCAACGACACTCCCATTAATTATTCTCATCCTTTTCCCGCCCATTGTCACACCTGGGCATGTAGGCGTCGATTGGCACCTTTTCAAAGCTATTGTTACGGAGTATATCCTGGCTGTCCTCACTCAGCACACAGCTTCTGCTCTCCCTTCTCATTATCCATCCATTTCGGTGTTTGGGGTGCTGAGTACGCAACTCTTTGCTAATCCTACCTTACCATCCGCCTCTTGGGCGGTTTTCCACCTCATCATGTCGCTTCTGCAGTCTCCTGCTCCCTCTCCTCTCCTTCAGACACAACACTCTCCTCAACTCACCTTACGCTCGGGTTTCTTCCCCGTCAGTGTCACTATCCCCTTCTAGCGCGGCACGCCTCCACACCCCCCGGCTTGGCCGCCGTATCAATCATATCGTATCCCCGTGGTCTCTCTCTTTTTTCCTCTGCTTGGGTTCAATTTCCCGTCAATCAGTTGTTGGTCATGGTTATTGACACACTTGCGCACCCCGTGTGGGCCACGTCGTCCCATTCGATCCGAGGCATTGACATTTGCGGCCAAGTACGGCAAAGTTGCCAGGAACCGTCATTTCCTCCAAGCCATCCCCATCTTCCAAGCCCATCCGTCGTCCCTCGGCCTGTTGTTCCGTGACCCTCATGTCTTTGTCTGCTTCTCCGCGCTGTCTGTCTCTGGTACCTTGCATTGGTTCATCCGTAGTTCCGAACCCTCTGCCCAATGCCGTCAGAAGGTACGGAGTACGGAACAATATCGAGCACTATGTGCCAATGCAGATACGCATCCAACGGACCAACAATACTAAGTTTGCCTAGTATCCGTAGACCGTACCTAGTCACCTACCGAGTCCACCACACTCTCGTTTTTTCCCTCTGCTGATCGACCCTCGTGTTCACAGCGTGAGTCTCGTTTTGACGCGCTTGGCCCCTCTTCTTTCACTGTCAACCGATCAACCGACTCCACGTCCTCCTCTAGTCACTCGTCTAATCTACCCGGGCTTCCCACCCCTTTTTTCACTTGCAAGCTCCCAAGAGCCAGTCACTCGTTGCCACTCCATTGAAGGGTTCCCCGTCCATTCGTTCATCGGTCCTGTCCCTCTTACATCCCAAACGTCTATATCGTTGTGTGTGCGCCGCAAATCCTCTCCGACCCTATCCATTCCTTTCATCACGCTCGCACCCAAGCGCAAAACCAATTGTTAATTCAACGCCCACACGCGGCGCAGTCGTTCGTTCAAACAGACATCATCAATCACAATCATCACCATGCGTACCTCAACACTTGCGTGGGCCGCCGTCACGGCCCTCTCTGCCCTCGTCGAGGCTGCCGACCTCGAGGCATGGAAGTCCAGATCCATCTACCAGATCATGATTGATCGTTACGCCCATACCGATGGCTCGACCGATCACGAGTGCGAGCTCTACAAGTTCTGTGGTGGCACATGGGCCGGCTTGACCAACAAGCTCGACTACATCCAAGGTTAGTAAATGCTGGAGATGATGCATCACGGGCTCTCTCTCTCTCTCGCCCAGAGACCTCGGGCCTCACAACTGACCATGACCACCAGGCATGGGCTTCACTGCCATTCAGATCAGCCCTATCGTCAAGAACATGGATGACGACACCGCCGTCGGTGAGGCTTACCACGGCTACTGGTCCCTCGACAACTACGCCCTCAACGACAAGTTCGGTACCTCGGACGACTTCAACAACCTGGTCAAGGAGATGCACAACCGTGACATGTACCTCATGGTCGATGTCGTCGTCAACAACATGGTTCAGAAGCTCGACAGCCTTCCCCCCAAGCTCGACTACTCCAAGTTCAACCCCTTCAACGAGGAGTCCGACTTCCACCCTTACTGCAACGTCACCGAGTGGGACAACAGCACCAACTACCAAGACTGCTGGCTCTACCCCTACGGCGTTGCTCTCGCCGATTTGGCCACTGAGAAGACCGCCGTCGTCGATGAGTTTGGCAAGTGGATCAAGGAACTCGTCTCCAACTACTCCATTGATGGTCTCCGTATCGATGCCGCCAAGCACGTCAACGATGCCTTCCTGCCTACCTTTGTCAACGCCTCCGGCGTCTTCGCCTTCGGTGAGGTCCTGACCGGAGCCCCCGCCGATTTCTGCCGCTACCAGACCCTGAACCTGTTGCCCGGCATGCCCAACTACATCGAGTACTACCCCCTCAACAAGGTCTTCTTCGGTGGTGACATGAACGAGCTCGCCGACTGGCGCTCCCAGGCCCGCGATAGCTGCACCGACATCTTCGCCCTCGGATCTTTCGTCGAGAACCACGACATGCCCCGTTTCGCCGTCTACGATGAGGACATTGAGCTCGCCAAGAACGCCATGGCTTACATCCTTTTGACTGACGGCATCCCCACCGTCTACCAGGGACAGGAGCAGCACTTCAACGGTAACTCGACTCCCTTCAACCGTGAACCCCTTTGGCAATCCAAGTACGACACCACGGCGCCCATCTACCAGCTCACCTCCACCCTCCTCAAGACCCGCAACGCCCTCCAGGCCACCAACAAGGACTTCGCCACCACGGCCTCTGAGCAGCTCTTCGTCGAGAACACTCACCTGTGCCTGCGCAAGGGCCCCGAGGGCGCCCAGGTCGTCTTCTGCGTCACCAACAAGAGCTCTAAGGGCGACAGCTACCAGCTCAGCGTTGGCGGCTTCAACCCCGGTGATGCTGTCGTCGAGGTCACCACCTGCGGCACCAGCACCGCCGACGGCACCGGTAACGTCACTCTGTACATGGAGAAGGGCGAGCCCCGCGCTGTCGTTCTTGCGTCTTCCATTGACGCCACCAAGATCTGCCCCAACGGCACTACCGCGGCTGGCCAGAGCAAGAGCGCGGCTGGCTTCATCGGCAGCAGCATGACCCTGGTCCTGGCTTCCGTCATGGCCGTTTCTTTTGCGCTCCTCGCATAAGCAACCACTGCTTGGTTGTAGATGTGAGACATTGATCAAGGGCGAAAAAAGGAAGAAGCCGAGCAAGAGAAGAAGAAAAAAGGGCGTGACTCGGGCGGGGTGTACTGCGAGCCAGACACATGTTTTCTTCTTCCCAATGTCGAGATTTTTTTCGCAAAGCGGAGTTTGGATAATTCAATGGCGGCTATCATGAAGCAGACTACCATCATCTCTTATCACCATCTTGTGTGTAATTATCCTCACCCCCCGGACCGCAGATTCCCTCGAAGCTCTCACGTGGTCTGGTGAGTAATGCATATTTCCCTCCTTTATACTGTACTTGTTTTATTTTGCTTGCATTTGTTCATAGTGATACCAGACCAATCTTTTTGCAAATAAATTAGTCATAAACATCAACTTGAGCTTCTGTGAGAATTGACAAAACGACATATTCAACGTCCAGACTTGTAATGTCACAAGCGTCACATTTGCATGCTCTATGAGATAGATCATTGATAGACTTATTCCATCGGGTACGGGTAGCAAATTCCGGCCGTGAAACTTCACGATAGCGGCGGATAGCTGGGGTTCCATTGTCTGCCCAGGGCTGTTCCAAATCGAGAGACACGCTACGGAGTCAACTCCTCCCCAAGAATTCGCCCGCCGGCTGCACAATCGCGTATCAAACGGAGGCCGAAAACAGCCGAGTCCATAGTATCGTGCCATTCAGAATGGAATCGCATGAACGGTGAAGAAGCAATTGCAAAAACCGAAACCATCACCCATCACCCAAACAATCCCCGTTATTGTTTATTTATTTGTTCTGCCTCTACGGAGTACCTTTTTTGCTCTTAGTTTTGCTTTCTTCGGCACCGAACGGTTCGGCGTCCTCCGTAGATTGATTGGGGCCAAGCTTTCTTTCCCTCCAAGGTACCTTACCAAATCCCTACTTCTGGCATTTGCACAGCCACCACGTGAGTTGACAAAAAACACAAAAAACTGGATAACGATAGCTTATCGGGTATCCTAAGACTATCCTTAAGTGTAAAACGTGGAGCATTCCCCCCTTCTCAGGTACAGGTACGTTACCCGACCTGTTGTGCCGGGTTCCCTGACACGCTGAGAAAGGTCTCCAGTGAAAAATACACAAAGGATCCTTTGGCAGCTGTTGCATTTTTTACAATGGAGAACGGTTGAGTGATAGACAATAGGGGCTTGGGTGGAGGGTGTAGGGCTCCATCGATCTATCGGTCGGGTCGGACGAGTCGGAGTCCAGGGCTTCCATTGTGTGTCCCACCGTCTAGACGGGCTACAACACCAGTACCTTGCACTAAGAAACTCAGCGCGCGAGAGAGCCGGGAGGCACAAGAGAGAGAGAGAAGAACATAACGGACCGAGCCCCGTTTTTTAGGTAGCCCCAGCTGCTTAAAGCAGAGTTGTTGTACCTGACCTTAGTGCTTAGTTTATGGAGAGCTATTGGAGCCGCTCGCTTGGGGGTGGGGGGGATTGGATAGGGGTGGGTGTGTTACCTTATGCAACGTTTAGTTCCCATTTTATGGGGCACGAGTATTCCGTATTAGACTTGAGCGCGCACACGGTGTGGCCACACTTCACACTTTTCACGCTTTTTTCGATTTTTCGCCGTTCGATACGAAGGGATCGGCCGTTGGATGGGTGGAAACCAGGGGGCGGAGGACTCGAGGACAACCGAAGGAGGGAAAGGGACAAAGGGAAAACCGTTGGTTGGCTGGCGAAACATGGTTCGTTAAAACAAACGGGATTTACAAAGAAAGGCTGTCCATCCGGAAACCAGTAACCTCTTTTTTGACTACCCAATAGGAATGGAGTTTGGAGTCCTCGGCAACCCCCCGATTGATTGACAGTTTTGACAATATTTGGACTGGAGACTGAAGTCTGAAAGATACGGATCCTGCCTGTCCCAGAGACGGAGGCGGAAAAAAAAAGGGACGGCTTGGCAGGCTGAATGGTTAACGGTATCCCGTAAGGTAGAGTCGCAGGAGTCGTAGATTAGGGGGTGGGATGGACTTCTGCGCGGGCTGCGCGGACGACGCGCGCTGTGCGTTCGGGACGCGAGAAGGAGGGGAGATAAGACATGCATAAGATAGAGGCACATATTCTGCACTGCAAGCCTAGAATTCTTGGTTGCTGCCGGTGCTGCGCTGCATTCTACTGGTATACTTTTTCTTATGCAGCTTTTCCTGCTGCTTGCAGTTCTGAGACCTTGGTTTTTGTGCACATCATGTACGAAGTATCCGTACGATGCAGAACAAGCGCCCGTCGCCATTGAAGCGATGTGATGAGATCCCCCCCGCCCCATCCCCTAAAGCAAGGCAAGATAATGACGGGTGATCACTGGGCGTCTGGACGTCTGCATGTCTAAGACCTCTTTATTTTTCTTGCCCCTTCCTTCCTGCCAGACGTGCCAGAGTTACTCGGATTCCTGCTTGTCTGACTGGTCGATGGGAATCACAATGCACAGGCCTCGGCAGATGAACTTATGAAGTGTCTCTGGGCTCGGGGAGATGGGCGGATATTGAGAGCGGCATGCGGGTGTCCTCAATAGGCTTGGCGCTTTGCAATCACGGGTGACGGAAGACTTCGACGGTTCGAACCACCACCAAGTGACCTCTGACCTCTGACCAGTCTCCTCGCCTCTCTCTCTCCCTTACTTCTAGACGTGACTTTCCTTTTTGTTTCTCAAGAGACATATGTGTGTTGACGAGCTGAACTGTTAAAAAAGTACTCACCCGCGTGATTAAAACTTGCATTTGTTCTCTGTTCGTGATTGGGGAGGGGGACGATGTTTCCCTGTTTGCTCTGGCCTTCTACGTTCTTTCGTGGGAAGGTGTCACGATGCAACCTCCACCGCGTCCAGCGTGCCATCGTGCCATCCAACGAACAAAGCATCTCGCAGCTGCCGCTATCGAGCCCGCCCGGGCTTTCTATCTAGGTAGGTATTCTGCGGGGGATGCTTGCGAGTTTCATTGGGTGAACAACACCTTCGGACCTTCGGAAACGAAAGCAAACAAACCGTGTACTCTGTAGATCGCTTTTTTTGCTGATCTTACTACCTCATGATAAGGCACAATCTATCCAAAAAAAAAAAAAAAAAAAAGATGGAGATGAATGGGGACTAATGCTCGAGCCCTCGACGATCTTCACTCAGATGCCGGGCCATCTTCGGCCCCCTCCCCCCGTCCTGTCAAAAGCTTCCGTGCCTTTCAGAGTCAAGAGGGCCAAGAAAACGTCCATTGCCCGGTTCGTTCTGGGAGTTATGTTCACCCTTGCAGAGTTCCCTTGCAGTTGGAGTCCCCTCGCGAGGAAAGAAAGCTTCCGAAGGAAAAATGTCTCTGGATGGGTCGATGGATCCTTCCGGCTTCATTCTATCAGAAAAGTTCGAGACTCATGGTAATGTGGTATTCTCGCAAGGAAAAGCGAAAAGGAAATCTATTTTTGAAGAAAAAAAAGAAGAGCCAGCCCAACGTCGATCCTCTCTATCACCCCCCGCTCCAGCCGGACATTTCTTTCTCTAATCCCACCGATGCTAAGATTCCCTCATCGTTTTCCCTCATCTCTCAGGGTGGGGTTTCCTGCGTTATTGTCTGTTAACCGTGATTACTCTTGTCCCTCGGTTTTCTTTCTCTCACCCATACTCCGTATTCAATTTGCAAACAAGGCATATAAGCCTACAAGGTTATAAAAAAAAATTTTAAAAGTCCATTACCTTACGGCCGGGAACTATCTTGGTCCGTGAGAACCCAGCAAGGCCACGAGGATCGGCAATGTGGGAAGCAAAACTTGATGTGGGAACTCGGCGTGTGCTTGGGAAAAGGGAAAGCGGACGCATGTCTCATCGCCTTCATTTGACAGTGACATGAAGGTCTTGATTATTGCTTATTCACACATGACTCTCCTGCCTGAAGCGAGACTTTTGGTTCTCGGGTAGAGGGCCAACCATGCATGCATGCGTCTCTGGGTCGAGATTTTCAGAGACATGCATGCCGCGCGCTCTGTGGCGACGTCGCGACGAGGCTGACTTCAGGCCAAAGGCACTTCGTACTCGCTTTCTTTCTTTGCACGATTTCCGGTACTTGCTAGATACCCTGCGTGACGATCTTCATGATGTGATGAGACTGTTGGTTTGGTTGCGTCTTGTCCCGTAGTATGCACCGCGATATCGATCTCGTCGCTTGGGGGAGTTGGCGATCAATTTGGGCAGTCTAAGTGGTTCGTTCGTCCGATGATAGTTTTCAGTTTCCCCTGTAAAAAAGTATGTGTTCTTTAAGCATTGGGAGTGAGGAGCGCATCGCCATTGACGTGCGAATAAGGCGAATGTTTAAGCAAAATCATTCACAGAGGCAAAAACGAAGATCTCGGTTATCGAAGACATCAAAAAATTCCGAAACCGAGAATCGAACTCGGGGCTATGCCTAACCTCTCACAGAGATGAGAGGGCATCATGTTGGCCACTACACCATATCGGATGTTGCTGTCAGGAGAGTAAGTTTGACTCAATGAGTAGCCTAGCGGGTCCGCGAGTGCACGTGACTGACAAGCACAGCAACAACAACACAATCTGAATACATGAGATTCAAGTCTTTCCTTCGTGGACGAGCTCCTGTGAAATGCACACGGAACTATGGTCTTCTAGTCTTCAATGCAGTGTCACATGAAGTAGTTCGCCGTGCTCTTGGCCTGTCGTCTCGATAAAGTTCTGTGGAATGCTGACTTACAGGTTACGAGGGAGCCGCATGTACGACCTCGTTTACGGATACGTGAACCGGACCACGACACATGCGTGCTACATCCCCCAGTTTTCAAAGTTTGCATCTCAGTTGAACTAGGTCAAGTAGCTTGGGCATGATTTCCAGCTGATCGGAATGCTGGATGACGGATTTAGGGACGGTTGCTACCGGCCACTCGCTCGTGCTTCCCGAGAGGGAGACGTTGTCTGCCGAGGAATGCGGAGCGGCACTAGATGCGTGTTCGAGGGAATTCAGTTTTGACCTTCTTTTGACTTCTGCTTGTCCCTGGAGGGGGTTGGGAGATGCCGGGTCATCTTACGTGTCAACAATTGATTTTAGACACTGATTAAATCACTTTTCAAAATCCAAAAACCTAGTACTCGTTTTAATTCCCAAACCATTAACTTTTAAAATTCACCTAAATGACCGACTCAGCTTTCCCAAAGCATTTGCTCACACGACCGGCCCTCCAGGTCCCTTCAATCTGATTTCTCTTAACCTATGTCCATCTCCATGGCTTCGCTCCAGACGACTACTGCGGTAGAAGTCTCATTTCCATCCTACACACTGAGTATCACCAAGCTGCCAGCACTTTGATACTCGCCTGCGAAACAGACTTTGGACGAATCAAAGTTTCAAATGCGTCAAGATGAATACATAAGAGCTATTATTACTAATATGATGGGCTGGTCTAGTGATCTAACCCCTTCGTATACACACAGCACTCACGCATCTCAAAGCAACCATCGACAAGACGTGGCCACTCTGCACACTCTGTATGAAGACCGCCAACACACTTTCTAAGCGAGCTAAGCTGCTGTCATCCCCCCTCAACCGGTGTTCGTCGGCTAAGCGACCAGGTAAGATCAATTATGAAGGCTATTCTGTTCGGTTGCTCATATACACACCCGCTCGCCGCCGTGGGAGATGCTGTCATAGCAAAGAGCTAGTATATCACATCAGCCCGAGCAAAGAAGATATGTACCATTTGAGGTTTGAGGCCATATAGCCATCGAAACCCCTTCGTTCGCGCCGTCGGAAGCCACCGATTCATCCGCCGGCCCGGTCCCAAATATCCGTGACCTTGAGGGGAAACGGGGACCGATGGCTGCCAGATCACAAGAGCACGAGTAGATTATATTGATACTCCAGAATCGTCCAAGATCGCATGTGTTTCATATCACAGCACGATTCCACTCTCCGAACTGTACTCCGGGTTTGTTATCGCGGTCAAGTTTGGCCACTGGATGACTCTCTTGTGTAAGAGACATGGTTATCTAGAAAGCCCGTCTTTTATCCTCATCAAGAGACTATGGGATGGGATCTCGGCCTAAAATGATACAAAGGCAATGTAGAGTAAAACACACGGATATGTAAGCGTTAGGAAGTGAATTATCGAGGGAAAACCGGCACCTCTCTTCTCTATTGGCGATGTAGCCCCGGTGTCTCCCCCAAGCGGCTTGGAGAGTATGCTCAGAATAGCAGAGCGACTGGGCGACACAGACTTCGCCGTCAACAACGATACTGTTGCTGCGAATTTGCTCTTCGAGTCCTGTGTTTCTCGGTGTCTTCACAAAGTAGTGGCATTCACAATCGGCTCACTTCCAGGTTACCGTTCCGAAGCACGCCCAGCCTCCGATGGCCAAGGTCGAAGGAGAACAACACTATAGAGCCGTAGGTAGGAAAGTTCAACGTTGATCCAAGGCCAGATTAGATGTAGTACATCAAGCTAGCCCAGGACGTCTGTTGTGAAGTTTGGCCTATAGTGGTGTTGGAGCAAGATGCCATTTATCAAAGATTCTCTGGAGCAAAGAGGAATTCGGTCACTTGCCACTGCGCGCCATTCCGTGATGTACGAAAAAGCCAACTCCGTCTGCGAGTTGCAGCACAAAACAGGGATTCCTAGTCCTCGAATGAGGCGTTCGCGACCTAGATGAGACGGACACGTGCCTTTTTATTTCCGTCTGTTCTTTTTTTGCCCAAGGTTTAAGCTGAACTTTTGCAAACTAGGATGACGCCTTTATTCTGATCTGCTGTTTAAGTTGAAGGGTAACAACAGAAGGTTTGCAGTAGTCCCATGACTGCGGTTCTTAGGCAACTTGAGTCTGGCGATTTGAGGTTCAACCAAAACCCCTCGTCAAGTCACACCTTGGGGCTTACCTCATCGGATGAAAACAGCATTGACTGGGGCTTGATTGACAAGACCATTGTCGATTTTTGTCATGCCGCTTGGGAACCATCCCCCTGCCAAAGCGCCTAGATCGACTGTCCAAACACTCCTGTGAAAGGAGAACGGCCGACGTTTTATACGCTGGAACATCTTGATTTCGACACTTACATCAGTTGAACTATTGAGAGAACCGGACGACAAGTCAATTGTAAGAAGAAGCATGCAAGCTATGCGTAGGTATATCTCTTCACTCTAATCTCAGTCCCCATCCCCCCTTTTCCTCATCGAAGTAGAGACCCATCCATCACCTCCATCTTCCCCATCAAAATATTCTCCACCTGCCTCTTTCTAAATAGTACAGAAAACAGTAACACCCCCCTCAGCAGCCCCATTCTGCGTCATCTGGATATACATCGCCGGCGGACTGCTGCTCCCCGCAGGACAGTTCCACTGGTTCTTGAACGCCGCCGGCAACGGACCGCCACTAGTAGACTTCTTGGCGCCCGTGCAGTAGGTGTTGCGGTTGGCCTGGCGGCAGGGGTTCGGGCACGTCTCGTCGCATGAGACCGGGTTGGGCTTGGGGATGGGCTCGGGGAGGGCTAGAGCGGCGGCGGTGGCGGGGAAGAGGAGGATGGAGGGGAGCTGCATAGTGGCGGTTGTGGTGGTTCGGTGAGTGGGTAAAGGTGTATGTTATAGGCGAGGGTATATCTTTTGGTCTGTTGGTTTGGTGTAAGACAGTGTTGGTGAGTGAGTGACTAAGTGAGTGTAAGTATGATAAAGAGAGAGCTAGTAGTATAATAACGACGAGAACTCGAAAGTGAGAAGGGATAATTTATAGCCTATAAGTTGCTAGACATATTATACTTCTTCTGCCCGAATCGTATATCAAATTCGTCTTCCGTATACACGGCAATATCGGAATCCCGTCGTGCCTGCACAGCGAAGTAAACCGAATCAGTCAGACTATTTCACTTCTCATTCCATCCTATTCAGGTACGTATTTGCGCCGTGACCCGTCAACCCCGGAGTCCGGAATGAACGAAGAAAGGACAGACCTGTAAGATGGCCGTCGTTACGGCATCGAGTCATTGCAAAAAATCCATCTCATATTAATGAAATATCAAGCAAAAGCCAGTTCCACCCAGTGGTCCAAGAACCACAAGCGCGCGCCGCCGAGGCGGGTTGTGGTTAACGTGGATTAAGGGTTTTCTGGGAAGCAATCATTTCAGACTCCATCTCATCTTAGTCAGTGTTCCTGGTTTCGGGTAGAACAGTTCGTCTTACTCTCGAGTCTTCTACGCTTCTCCGTCAAAACCTTGTCCTTCTTCGGAGTACGGATGCCTATCCGTGCTACGGATAGCCACCCGTCGTCTTCTACGAGTTTCAGCCGTTGGCGGGGAGGGGGGAGTAATCCAGATTGAGAGTATCACTGAGCCTTCGAGAAGAAAAAAAAGTATCCGTACGGCCAGCCCGTACGGAACAACTCCATTTCGTTTACGAAAAAGATAACCCGTCTTGAAATATCGGTGATGTTATATACTTATAGACATGATGAGCGGCAGGCAGCCTTGCTTTGCCATCGCTGTAGCCAACGACTACGCTGCAGACTCATCGAAAGCGAGGGCTTTACGAAGTCTCACTGGTGATGTTCTGCACTTACATTCCACAATACTAGCACCGGGGGACGGCAAGAGAGCCTCGATGAAGAGAAGCTGATGTATGAACCAGTCAAGTCATTTGTCCTTGTAAGTTCCTTGAACAAGCCTTGGAGGCTCAGCTTGCTTGCCCCAGGTTCCCTGCTGTCACTCATCCCGCAAATGCAGAGAAGTCCCCACTCAGTAAGTAAAGTTAAGTTGCATTCATCTTGATGGGGTCCTCCTCGGCATGAGTGACGGCATGGAGGGGCCGAATCTTGCCATCAAATGCCGGATTAACTTCATCACTCTACGGATAGATAGGCCATTTCCCGCAGCGCAAATACATCGAGTACATGAACCACGTAGTCAAGATGGACCGTTGAAGAGCTCACGAGGGCATCGGACGGCAGTTCTCAGTCACAGTCACACAAAAGGACAAGGCATGTTGTGTTCAAGAGGTCTCATTTATGCGTTGTATACTCTACACAATGGTGGAGTCATGCTCCATGCTGCCGACGCCGATTAACCTGCCAACACCAGAGACGAAAAATTGCATGGAATTCTTGGGTACTGTCTCTTTTGAATCCCGAAACGAAGCAATAACAACAAATCTATGGAATTTAGAGCTCGTCGTGGGAGGGGGGCTCGTCCTCGCCACCAGCGCCACCGGCGCCCTGGTACATCTTGGAGGTGATGGGGTAGGCGACGTTGGACAGCTTCTCCTTCTGCTCCTCGAAGTCCTCGGTGTTGGCGGTGGCGCCGTTCTCCTCAAGCCAGTCGGTGGTCTCCTTGACAGCCTCGAGGATCTGACGATAGTGTTAGTAATCTGTCGGTACACATGAAAGGCATTGTGGCAACTTACAGTCTCCTTGTCCTCGTCGTCAATCTTGCCACCAAGACCCTCGTCGTCGTTGACCTGGTTCTTCAGGGAGAAAGCGTAGTTCTCAAGACCGTTGCGAGCCTCAATGCGCTCACGGGTGGCCTTGTCCTCCTCAGCGTACTTCTCAGCCTCGGCGACCATGCGGTCAATCTCGTCCTGGGTAAGACGACCCTTGTCGTTGGTAATGGTGATGGACTCCTGCTTGCCAGTTCCCTTGTCGTGGGCAGAGACCTTGAGGATTCCGTTGGCATCGAGCTCGAAAGAGACCTCGACCTGGGGAACGCCACGGGGCGCGGGAGGGATGCCAGTGAGCTCGAACTTGCCAAGAAGGTTGTTGTCCTTGGTAAGGGAACGCTCACCCTCGTAGACCTGGATGAGAACGACGGGTTGGTTGTCGGCGGCGGTGGAGAAGATCTGGCTCTTGCGGGTAGGGATGGGGGTGTTGCGCTGGATAAGCTTGGTCATGACACCTCCAGTGGTCTCGATACCGAGAGTCAGGGGGTTGACGTCCATGAGCACGATGTCCTCAGTACCCTCCTCACCGGAAAGGACACCGGCCTGAACGGCGGCACCGAAAGCGACGGCCTCATCTGGGTTGATACCCTTGGAAGCCTTCTTTCCGCTGAAGTACTCCTCAATCAGGGAGACAACCTTGGGAATACGGGTAGAGCCACCAACGAGAACGATGTCGTCAACGTCCTCCTTCTTGACCTTGGCGTCCTTGAGCACCTGCTCAACGGGCTTGAGGGTCTTCTTGAAGAGATCCATGTTGAGCTCCTCGAACTTGGCGCGGGTAAGAGTCTCGGAGAAGTCCTTGCCCTCGAAGAAGGCCTCGATCTCAATGCGAGTGGACATCTGGGAAGAGAGGGTACGCTTCGCCTTCTCGGCCTCACGCTTGAGCTTACCCATGGCCTTGAGGTCCTTGGTGATATCGACGCTGTTCTTCTTGTTGTAGGACTTGGCGAAGAAGTTGATGATGCGCTGGTCGAAATCCTCACCACCCAAGTGGGTGTCACCGGCGGTAGCCAGGACCTCGAAGACACCCTGGTCGATGGACAGAAGAGAAACATCGAAAGTACCACCACCAAGGTCGTAGACGATGATCTGGCGCTCACCGTCGGTCTTGTCAAGACCGTAGGCGATAGCGGCGGCGGTGGGCTCGTTGACAACGCGGAGAACGTTAAGTCCAGCAATGACACCGGCATCCTTGGTGGCCTGGCGCTGGTTGTCGTTGAAGTAGGCGGGGACAGTGACGACGGCGTGGGTAACCTTCTTGCCAAGGTAGGCCTCGGCGACCTCCTTCATCTTGCCCAAGATCATGGCGGAAACCTCCTCGGGGGTGAAGCGCTTGGCGGAGCCAGAAACCTCAACCTCGACGACGGGCTTGCCATCCTTCTCGATGACCTTGTAGGGGAAATGCTTGATATCGGACTGAACAGCCTTGTCGGAAAACTTCTGGCCAATCATACGCCTGGAAGATGGTTAGCAATGGTATATTGAGAGGTCGACGGTCGGGGTAGGAGCTCACTTGATATCGAAGATGGTGTTGGTGGGGTTAGCGGCGGCCTGGTTCTTGGCGGCGTCACCGACGAGTCTCTCCTCCTCGGTGAATGCGACGTAAGACGGGGTGATACGGTTTCCTATGAAGCAGAAGCGTCAGTAAAATTGCTGGAGTCGGGGAATGGGGAGCAGGAGCAGCTGCAACCGTGTAGACTTACCCTGGTCGTTGACGAGAATCTCAACCTTGCCCTTCTGCATCACACCGACGCAAGAGTAGGTAGTTCCAAGATCCTAGAGATTGGGAGTTAGACTGGTCGTCCATTTTTATTTGGTTCCGTTGGCGATAAGAGGAAGGGCCGACAAAGGGCGCGTCGCTAGGGGGCTAGGAGGTGTAACTTACGATACCGATGACAGTTCCGTAGCTCTCAGTGTCCTGAGCCTGGGCAGTCTGAACGAAAGCCAGGGGAGAGAAGAGGAGAGCCATCCAGGCCAAGAGGCCGAAGCCCAAGGCCATCGAGTTTCTGGATCTCGACATTGTGGTGGTTTTTTTGGCGGTGCCGTGAAGCTCCCCTATGTGGTATTGGGATAGCTCTTGGTGTCGGGAAAAAAAGAAATGAGAAAACGTCAAAAGACGCGCTGTTAGAGAGAGGGTTTTTGGATTCCCTTCTACTATTTACACACCCAATCGAGTTGAGGTGGCTTTGGCAGTGGTGAATTGGGAGAGGTCAAAAGTGTCGGTGGTGGAAAGGAAGAGCTGCCGCCTTTATGAATGCCTTCTCCAAAAAAAAAGTCGAGGTGTCCAGATTGCACAAAAGGCCAGATTTCACGTTGCGAGGCGCCACACGTGACAGGGGTCTCTTCCTTTTGGGGGGTGGGTGTCGCTGGTGGATCCTCACTGTGTGGACCCTTGGTGCAGCCGTACTCTATTTGGTGTCTTTTACTCTGTACCAAAGGCAGCACTTGCACTCAGCACCTGCAGGTGAGCAGGAGGTAGGTACCAAATGCACTGACTGGCAGCAGCAGCTCGGCAGATGGAGATACCCAAGGTTGGGATGGCAGCAATTAGGTGCTTCGGGGGACACATCTCCGTTGCAGCAGGACAGTGAGCAAGTACCGTGCGACGATTCTCCCCTAGCCACGGGAGTCAAGGTGCGCGCGCCTCACCGCTGCCGCTGCCTGCCGTCCGCACTGGGGTCAATTCCTTTCTGCCCCACCAAGGCTGCGATTCTGGAGATTTCGATTACAGGTGGCCCCCCCTGCTGGGAGCTGCTGGGAGTTTAGGAATTGGGACCTTGAACGTGGCCTTTCCGTTCGCATTGCTTCCACAACTTCGGTTGAGTTCTACGCCGCAGCAGCGTGACAAACTTCAAAGGCACCTTGTGTTTGTTCGTTTGTCTCCAATTGGAAGTGACTCACGATCCAGCAAGAAAATACTTGCCCCAAAGACGGGAGGCAATAGACTTGGCCACTTCCTTTGCAAATACACTTAGGTGGCATCTGATTGAATCTTGGTAGCCTTGCAGTGTCCTCTATCTAGTAGTATGTTACCTGTCCCATTCAACCTCCAAGCAGCTGGGAAAGGAACAGAGTGGCCTCTACTCGGTACTCCATACCTACTTACCAACCGGTCC